TTCTCCTCCCGGGAGTTCTCCTCGTCGTCCTGCAACTCGGTGGACCTTAGCCTCGCGGTGCAAGGTACTTGACCAGACAAGTGTCTTATTGTCCTCTTGTCATGACAGTGATCTCAGTTTCTCATACACGAAAAAAATATAAGCTGCATGCACATACACACAATGTGTAGCTAAACCAATAGCTGAATAGGGATTAGTAATTATTTAGCCACGTACCCATTAACCAAAAATTAAGCAATACAGGTAAAAATTTAGGTACCGAAAAAATTAGCTATGTTTAGCTACGTACCTACACTACACGCCGACATTTTAGCTATATCTATTTTTTGTGACATAGCCAATTTTGAACCATATAGCTTAATAATTAGCTATCCCTAATTAGCTAATCTATGTCTTACTTTCTCAAAGACGTGGGCGACCGGCTGATCGAGGTGATCGGGCTGGAGAACTGCCTGCACATGGGCCAGGTGCGGACGGGGCTGCGCGCCAGCGGCCGCCGCCTGGCGCAGTGCTCCTCCGTCGTCATCCGCACGCGCAAGCGGCTGCCCATGCAGATCGACGGCGAGCCGTGGATGCAGCCGCCTTGCACGGTGGGTACAGTGACATCCGGTCATGCTGACGGAGTCAAAAATACCTCCTCGGTGACGCATTCTTCGCGGTCGGATTCTTTTTTTCGGAGAATTGCGCGAAGCAAATTTATTCTTGTTACAAACATTTAACTGTGAAAAATTTGTAATAAACAAAAAGAGCAAGCTCGATTAACCGTTTGTCCAGGGGTGAAAGTGTTTATCCTGAAAATGTTTTTTGAATGTGACGGGAACATTTAATAATTTCATAACTGGTTAAAGACTTGATCGTGCTGTTATATTTCGGGAGGACGGGTGTGGACTCTTTTGGGAGAGCAATGATGGGCAGCTGTGACTGTTCCCCCGCCACATTCTGTGTTGCAGATCACGGTGACGCACAAGAACCAGGTGCCCATGCTCATGGCGCCCCCTCCCGACAAGAGCAAGGGGTTCTTCAGCTTCTTCCGGAAATGAAAATAGTCCGGCGGCGTTGTCGCGTGAAGCACCGCGAAGCACGAGAGACTAAATGTTTTGAGTGCGGCGATGAAGCGTCCAGACTTCTCAAAATATGTTTCCATGATCCGCGTATCTTTTCGTCTCTCTCTCAAGAAAGAGAAGACAGTGATAGTGATAGCGGATCGTGGCGCCGCGCCCAACCCCGTGCTGTGAGTGCCATCTATGGGACTTCCCTGGAGCGAGCGCCGTCGACCAGACACTTCTTAGTTGCCGGAGACATGCTGTTGTCACGGCAAGGGACATCATCACTCATCAAGTCATTCCTGTGTGGAACAACTCTACTTACTGTATGAAAATTTATTTTAGAATAATAATATACGGTTAAGGCTGGTTCTGTAAAACTGAACGACCAAAAACTTGGAGTAGGCAAAAATAGTTCACAACTAATTTTTAAAAAAGTAATTAATTTTTCATGGGAGCCTTAAAAAGTTATGTAAGGTGTAGAACATTTTAAAATATTCTGGCGAATCGAAAATATCTCTGAACATTGTAATTGCGTCTCGTCGCCTTCTCTTTCACTTGCAGAACCACGGAGTTCGTATTCGAATGATTCGGACGATGCCTCGATATTCTAGTCAAAGTTGTTATTTTTGGGAGCTTTTTTTGTGTTGCAAGTCATTTGAGACCTCGGTCAATGAAGTTGGCATCTGTGAAAAGCAGCAAGTCACTCCAATGTGACAGCTGTTTGTCCTTTCAAAGTTAATTATTGATCTGTACTTTTTAATTGAATTTTCACCTTGTTTCTTAATAATGAGGGCTTAGCATTTCGCAATGTTTTGACTTCTTTCTATTAAATTTTAGTTGACAATATTTAACGATATACGTGACGATAGCAAGTATCATAATCATCCCCTCTGCTCTAAGACAAAACATGTTTGTAAAAAATATACTTCCCGTAGGATAGCTACATCCATACCTCGTCACCTTACATGGTCGCCATCTTTCCCGTCCCCGTTTCCTCTTGTACCTAAACTGTCATATCACCAGTCATCAATAATTTAATTGAATTACAATTCTTCTAAAAACGACATGTCATGAATGGTTCCGTTAGATGCGGCTTCTTGTGTGTTTGCTTGCTCCCGTTTCGGCGCGGGCCTCGCTGGACCACGGAGATTTCTTTCAGTCAACACTGATATCGGCTTTAGCAGGTCAATCTCCAGACAGAGAAAGAGCGCGCACGCGCCTCTCACTCATTCACTCACTCACTCGCACCGCATCAGCATCAGCTGCTGGAGGGGGCGGAAGTTTCCTCGCGGGCTGAACGGGTCGCTTATCAAGGCATCCGGGGACGTACGCCCGCCCGGGGGAGGAGGAGGAGGAGGGCGTGATTTTTCCAAACTCCAGCAGAAGGCGAGCGCGACTCTGCTGCTGCAAGTTTGTTCACCCGCCCGCCTCTCTCCGCTCCGACACCCCAAGGCGCTTGTTCATCATCATGACAAACTGCGCGAGCGCGGCGGGGCCAGGCGGGGCACAGTAGTAGTAGTTGTGAATAATTAACCCAACTACCTCCGCGGTAAGTGAATTTCTCATTCCGGCTCCACCCGGCTCCGCCCCCCGTTCGGACGTGGGGCCACACCATACCGGCGCGGCGGCGGGCCGCCGGCTGCGTGCGGTCGCTCGGCCGAGTACATAGCGAGCACGAGCGCACTCCACACGTCCACAGCAAAAAGCGCGCGCCGCGGCCCGGCCGAGCAAAGTGCGCGGGTTCCGAGAACGGCAAGCAAGAGAGTTGCTAGCTGCCGCCGCGGTCAGAGTCCTCGCGAGAGGCACTTGACTCACCCGCTCGCTGTGTGGGCTTTGTGTGTCGTGCCGATTAAGCCCGCCGATCCCAATTGGCCCAGGTCAGCTGCAGCCTCGGCGGCAGATGGCAGACGCTGCTGCTCTGGTGCACGGGTGACTCACAGGGTGTGTGGTGAAGAGGTGGGGTGATACAAAAATTTGCGAAGAAAACAAATCCGCGCGTGCCGTTTATCTGTAGGCGCGATAACTCGAGAGGTCTATGCAGTATTTCCTGTAAACCTGCGTTATTTACCTGCTATGTATGCAATGGGTTCGGATAACTAACTGCTTTTTATGTGCAGAAACTAGAATTTGGCTGTCACAACCAACATTTCGTCGCGGGAACGAGGCTGTTGCTAGGAGAACGAAACCTTGCTTTGTTCACGGAAGGAACGCGTTTGTTCTCCCAATAACAATATAACGTCGTCCCCTCGACTACCTAAATGTTGGTTTCTGAAGGTAAAACCAGTTAATTATCCGGAAATCAACTATCGCTTCGCTGGGGGAACTAACTCCTTTTTTCCGTGTGGTGGAATAGCGCACACATATACCGGGGTATTCACCAGTCTAGATATTGCATACACGCTTGAAGTGTTTCTGCGGTTCAGTTACAGGCCATAGAAGTGGGGTGGCTCGAAAGTCAGATGACGCGAGCGAGCGGAGGCTCGAGGTGACATAAGTCACATATAAGTAAACGGCCTGGTTACTACCGGTCGATAAGCCCGCGCAACTTACGTGAGCAAAGCGACGGAAGAGTACAACACGTAGATTTAAGTACCGGGGCGACAGCTAGGCCTCAATCAGATGGACTATGTAATGTGGCAACTCTAACGCAACCCCATATCTCGCCCAACACCTCTATATTTTTTTCAGTCCACGCTGCTTTCCCTCTGGGGAATTCGTATCGAGGTGGCCGCGCTTTATGCTTACTGCTTTGCTTACTGTACTCGCAGGGGACTTCCCTCCTCCCCCGCCCACTTTTTTTTGTCCGCGTGGGATCGGAAGAAATATAATGGCGTGACGCGTCGGACCCCATCTGCATGCATTACACCCCAGGGATAACCCTATTTTAAGTTGAAGTTGAATCACGACTCGTGGAGCAAATGTTGCAGAATGGGAAGCGAGTGTAGCGGAACGGCAGAGCCGAAGGCCGAAGCACACACATCATATGGTCGCGTTGTGGCGTGAGGAGTGGATTTTTTTTGTATATGACATATGACAGAAGAGGACGGACAGGACACTCGCGAGCTGGTCGCGAGACGGGGCCCGATATCGCCGCGCCGATCCCCATACCCCCCGCCCCGCCCGCAGTTGCGACTCAAGGTCAAGTAGAAAGCCTAGCACATACGCACCGCGGCGCCACCAACGGCGCTATCGCTACACGGCTCGCTGTTACTGCTAGGAAACGCATCAATCGTGAGGTCAATCCGATCGACATCGCCAGCACAGGTGCGCGGCTAGTTCCGCGGTGACCCCTCGGGGCCTGGGTGCACCTGTGCAGTGCACCTGTGTGCGTGCGAGGAGCCTCTGCCGCGGGGCCCCGCGCTGCTCCCACGCCCCCCACCCCTCAACTCCCTCGTAGTCATGGCCAACATATTGGCAAGATTGTGAGACTATAAGAGGTTGCCCGAATTTTTTAATAGATTGCAAGTTTGTATTTCCCAGGCCTGTTTTTTGTTTTGGAAAAAAAATTCAAAGAACGCCTGCAATTATGCAAACTGCTTCTACTTTCTCCTCGCAAATACGCAAAATAACATATGTCTGTGTCCCTCGAAAACGCCGTGGTCTTTCTGAAGATTGTGGCAAGATTTGCCATAGGACGGTGCGTGTGACCAGAGACCATAGTCCCCTTGTTGAGGCCTCCTCGGCCTGGCACTGCCGGCGGCAGCCATACGCAGCCCGACACTCCACCCGAGCCAGGCAGAACCCATATCACATGGGTCCGCGACTTGACCCCATGCGAACTATGCGCAGTAGCGCGTCGCTCGACGAGGGGGTCGTCCTGCAACCGCGACAGCCCCCCGCGCAGCGCGACTCGACGCGGTGCTGCTCCCACAGTGAAGTCGGGAGGACACTGCTGGGAGGACACCGTCTCGCGGGTCATTTAAGGTCGGACCCCTCTCCTCTCCCTGCGAACTCGCCGAAAGACGCACGCTCGTGAGCACACACGTTTCTCGGCTGTCTTCGAAACTAGATTCACACACACACACACACACCGGGCGCGCTCGCACGCGATCGCGGCGGTGGTGGTGACGGCTTCGCTCATCTTGCACACAAACGGTGAGTCACTCGGCGGCCGCGGTGACCCAGCCTGCCCCGCCCCACGATGCGCCGCCTTCTTCGGTCATCCCAGCTTCATTTGCAATCGAAGTCAAGTGACCCAGTGAGAACTGTTGCAGGAAATGAGCCGGAGGGGAGCGCCCACTTGTTAATACAGTCAGCTGACTTTAAGAATCGACGGCTCGAAACAGACTTGGGGCGACTCGGGGCTCTGTGCCATGGTGAATGTTCCCGCTCTTCCCCCAAAATTATAACTTTTCCTCTACGGTTAGAGAAGCAAAAGCGTTGTTGGCAAGTACACGAAACGTTTCCAATTTCGCGCGAAAAAGTCGGCCTCTGTCGAGGCCGAATGGTGGGGGGCGGCTTGCAGGAGGGGAGGGGGGAGGCAAAGAGAAGG